GTATCCGAAAATCTATGAGCGGCCAAATCTGTGAGGATATATTGCCCGATAATGACTCGGATATCCATTGATATTTTGGCAGATTTTGAATAATTCATATTGACCCAACTGTGAAAAACTCGGCGCCTCGGTGAGACTCGGATATCATCAAATGCGAACTGTGTCGGCTGCTTTCGACAGCTCTGGTCATAAATATGCGACCTTTAACAACTTGCAGGGTTGCTGGTTTGATGATGACAAAGTGGCCCCAAGAACAAGACAGGCTCAGAAGTTACCAACAGAGAAGAGTAGGAAGCATAAGCTCTATAGTCGATCAGCAGTCCTGTCAGATAGAAAAGCCTGTCGAGATGATATGGTTGACAACGCAAAGATCCCCAAATCAGAAGTCGGGGAAGAGGGATTGGGTACGACAACTTTACTGACGTGCGAGAACGTACAAGCGGCTCTGCAAGCAGTTGCTGCAAGTCTTTTCTCCTGGCAAGTTGTGTTGCTGTATCCGCCATTGAGGTTTTTAGCCCACAGCGCGAGTGGGCACCTTCATTGGCTTGGAGTTCTCGCGAGGCTAGTGATAGGCCTCGAGCAGTCGCAGCAGCAAATCGACAGGGAACGCGAGGCGGGCAGAAGGGCAGCACGAAAAAGCGGCGGGAGGTAAGGTAGTGCAGACTACTAGGTCGAAGGTGGCGTATAGCGACGCCGAAGGAAGTGTTTATGTCTAAAGAACATGAGTAATCAAATGGTCATGAATATGAAGATGGCGACCGCTAGGGGGGATATATACAGGAGCACAGGGGAAGAGTATGTCTGGCGGCTACAGTGTCGGAGGTCAATGAGGGAGTAGGTGCAGTTGGGGTAGCAGACATGGAGGAAGAGGGAGTATACGGGACGGAAGGATAGAGGGTCGGGAAGGTGGAGCAGGGGATACAGGACCAGAAGGCTCATCCGGAGGTGCCCGAGACAGCAGCATTGAAACGGTCCAAACTCACGACCTCTCGAGTGTCGCGTTGGGGGCGAAAGTTCCTCGTACCACGAGAGATAACCCGGAAGAAGCCGTCGTAGTATGGTTCCAGTTGACTGCGGGCTCGATCACATCGGAGATAGACGTGAGATCATGTCGTCAAGTATTTCTGGAGATGATACTTGGCGACCGATGGTCTGGGCGGAACCGGGAAAAGTGCTTGCATAAATTGCTGGAGACGGTGTAGGGAGTTGACAGGATTCTCGACCGCACCTCGAGAAGTTGGCGAGACCACCTCATCGGGAAGTCGGAGAGTGACACCGAACACGAGTTCGGCGGCGGAACAGTCAGGGTCCGACTTGAGGGAGGAGCGGATGCCAGCAGCACAATGGGGGAGGTGGTCCGCTCAGTTCTCCGGATCATCTGAGGCGCGTAGGGAGGTCTTCAACTGATGGTTGGATCTCTCGACCATCCCGTTGGCTGTCGGATGATAGGCTGTAGTGCGAATGAGAGTACAGCCTAAAAAGGTAAGAAGAGACTGGAAGAGGTTAGATTCAAACTGGGTACCAAAAATGGCAACCCATTAACATAGAAAAGCCTTGACTGTCGCAGCAGCGCCAGGCAGATAGATAGCTTCCGGCCACCGAATGAGTCGATTCACGCAGGTGAGGGGCTAGGAACAACCATTGGACAGAGGCAGGGAGCCTACAATGTCCAGGTTTAGGTGACTGAACCGTGCATACGGAGTGGAGAGTGTCGTGGGAAATTAATTGAGCTGTTAGACCTTACTCTACTGACAGTCGAGAAACGCGCGTGTCCATTCTTTCAGACCCCCGTGCATCCCAGTCCAGACGAAGCGGTCGAAATCCAGCCTGTCAGTATCTCGACACCCAGAGTGATAAAGGTTACGCAGTGGGGAGAATACCTTGCGGCGGAGGGATGGCGGAAAAATGGACGGTGAGATGTGGTGGAGATGTCATGGAGAATGGGGCGCCTCTCGGTAGTCAGTGACAGGTCCTAGAGTTGAAATCCGGAAAATTCCTCGTCACAGAAATAACCAATACGACATTGTTCGGCGGTCATCTCGGCTAGGTCTATCCCCGGAGAAAGTTGGATGGAAAGCCTGAACAGTGCGTCAGCCGCCTTATTGCGTGACTCGTCTAAGTGACGGATATCTGAGGTGAATTGCGAGATGTAGTCCAACTGGCGAATTTACCAGGGGTTGAGTTTGTCGAAGGTGGAACCAAGACGTAGGGAAAGGGGCTTGTGACCCGAAAAGTCGGTGAAATCCCTGCCCTCAAGGAAGGGCCAGAAATGATTCACGGCGAGGAAGACAACAAGAAGCTGCCGCCCAAATGTGCCATAGGGCGTTTCAGCAGGTTATAATTTTCTGGAGAAGCAGGCTAAGGATTGGGTGCAAGATGCTGTTCGTGAACCGCCCCTCCTGCAACATTGGGGGCGTCAACCATGAGGGAGATGGGAGCATAGTGTGTCAGGAGGGTGTCATCGGCCGGAGCAGCCTTCACATTGTCAAAAGCAGCGAGGACGTCTGCAGACAGGTCGAACGAACCTTTGGGACCTGAGAGGAGGCTCGTAAGCGGCAGAATGGTGTTGGCACAGCGTGGGAGGAATCGGCGGTAGGAATTCACTATGGCCAGAAATCGATGCGGCTGACGCGCTAGGACGGATTAAGAACAACGCTAAATTTTTGAAGACGGCCAAACATCGTTGCAAGCTGCTCCGTGTGTTCTTCGGTGGCGGAGCTGGCTACCAACAGGTCGTCAATTAATACGTAGACAGATGGTAGGCTGCGGAGCATTCTGTCTACGAGCCTCTGAAAGGTCTGAGAAGCATTGCGCGTCCAGACGGCATGCGCAGGAAGTCAAAAAAGCCAAAGGGAATGGTGACGCCCATCTTTGAAACGTCCTCCGGAGCGATGGGAATCTGGTGGAAGGCACATGCTAGGTCGATCTTCGAGAACGCAGATTTTCCGGCAGAATTCTGAAGATGCGGGACAGGGTAGCGGACCGGGATAATTATGTTTTTCAGGGCCCTGTAGTCATCACAGGAGGCGCCAGTCGCCGGTGGCGGCCTTGGCAACCATGTGGAGGGGTGGGACCCATGGGCTTTCAGACTGACGGATGGTGCCCATCTGAAGTATATCCTCGAACACGACTTTGGCGGCAGCAAGATGTCCAGCGCGAGACGGCGGGATCGAGGAAACACGGGAGGGTCGCTGGCTGGGATACGATGAACAACGTTGTGTGGTGGAATCACGACGCCAAAGTTGGAACGAGTGAGTCTGGGGTATTTGGCGAAGATTTGTCGAAATGGATTCTCGAATGCAGGATCCCGGGCGGTGAGTTGACGAGAAGCGCCAGAAGAAGTACCCCGGACAGTGAGATTTTGTGGTCTTGTTGTGTAGATAGGACTGAAGGCAGTCTACCAGAGGATCGAAAGCGGCACGGAGAAAGCAGTAACGACGAAGACCCTAGGGAAAAGACGCTGGAGACCGACGGTTAGGGAGGCAGTGCAGGTACCGAAGGTGGCAATGGGCGACGTGTTGACGGTCTGAAGGAACAGGCCGAGATTAATGCACCGAGGGTCAGCTGACGTGGAAGGAGTGACATTCAGTTGAGCAGCTGTGTCGACCAAGAAACGCCTGCCACTCTGGGCGACGCGGACGTAAAATGTGCGAGCAGGGTTAGAGCTGCCAGGGTGATTTGTCCCACCGACATTCGGGCTGACCTGTCTTACGTGTTTGCTCTGTTTAGATATCGAGACGCAAGGAGAGCTGCATCAACGGGCTTTAACACCAAAGGAGATGTGATACCAGCAGGTGGCGGCTGTTTTG